AAAAAAAAAAAAAAAAAAAAACTTCGATCCAATCTTCATCCCGGTGTGAACCGACAACACCGGCACGAGTCTCATTTCCAGTTAGTTCATTCACACGAGGTATATTGTCTTATCTTTACTTTTTACATTATTTGAAGTTGTTTATAAATTGAGGATTTGTATAATATGTTTGAATGTGGTGGTATTAGAAGATTGAAAATTGCTAATTGATTATGGATTATGTGTGTATGTTGAATTGAGGATTGAAATTTTGTGTGTAAATTGTCAATTGTGTATTGTTTTGTTGTTGTTGGGATTAGGGTTTTCCGAAATTAGGGTTAGAATTAGGGGTTTAAATTTATCCGAATTATAGATGAATTTTATGTTATTGTTGGATTATGAGTTTAATGGTTTTGGATGATTATTTGATTGGGGCTATTTTTTGTTATTTTTTATTTTTTGTTGGAGAGTAAAAATTGAGTTTTTTTGAAAAAGAATTGAAAGTGTTTATTTGCAACAGGTATAAAATGGCCTATCCCGGTCCCGGTCCATATCTTGTTAATTTGTACTGGCATTTTGGGAAGGAAATGTTAAACGATTTTGTTTCATTTAAAGATCGTCCGAGTGGTTCATTTATAATTCCGGGGAGGATATCATATGAACAGTTGGTACAGATGATTAATGAAAAATGTCAGTTTGAAGAAGGTTGGACAATTCAGGAGATTACTATGATGATTAGTCAACCTGATGGTTCGTGGAATCCCGCAATACTCAATAACGATAGTTTTGAATGGATTTATTACTTTCCTAGTATGTCCGTATTTGCATTTATCGTTGCAGGCAAATACACCCGTTACACAGTTTGAGGATTTTACTCCTTGTTACGGGGGAGTGTTTGATGTCGAGGGTACATCGACTTCTCATGTACCTAATTTTGGAGAAGGGACATCGAGAGAATGGGCGGCGGTTGAGGACGATGAAGATTTTATTCCCGGTGAAGATGACTTCACAGACGAGACCTCAGAAACCGAATCAGATAGATCGGTTAATGAGGAGAGTGAAGCCGAGTTCATGGAAGAAGAACACCCATTTCCTATTGGCGGTCGGCACATATACCGCGAGATGGGTGAATGGGACCCGTCCAGGATAGATGCGAACGAGTATTCTATTCCACGGTGGAATGGCGACATTGAGACCATACGTTTGGGTACAGTTTTCCGGAGCAAGCGAGAAGCCCAAACGGGTCTAATCGCTTGGAACGTCGATAGGTTGTGGGAGGTTCGGTCAAAAGATTCAAATCAGAAGACATTCAAACTGGTCTGCAAATCGAATGCAGATGCAGATGTGCCTTGTCTGTGGATGGCTCGGGTGAATAAGTCCAGACGGCATGATGATTTGTGGGTCGTAACTGAATGGACTGACCAACACACTTGCATGCAACAGGTTGACAGAAATGACCACAGAAACGTGACTGCCCATATGATTGCGAATCTTATAATGAATAAGATTCAGAAGAAAGTGGAGTACAACGTTAACATGGTCCAGGCTAATGTGAAGCAGTGTTGGAAAGTCGACGTCAGTTACAAAAAGGCATGGCACGGCAGAAAAAAAAGCAATCGAGTGTGTGTACGGCAGTTGGGAGTCGAACTTCGCAGAACTCCCTCAGTAAGCAAAAATTAATTACAAATATACGTGTTTTTTGTCTGTCAGTATATTTATTTATTTATGAAATTATTTTGTATTGTACAGATATTTTGCCGCGCTTCAAAGAGCGAATCCCAACACAGCTGTAGATTGGGAATTTCAGGGTGGTGATGCGG